TATATATATATATATATATATATATATATATATATATATATATATCCAAACAGTCACATGGGCCACATTTCATTAAGTAGGAAAATTCGAATTACAATCAGTTTCAATAAAAACCTTAAGCTCGGGAGGTGAATACCCAACCCATCCCTGGGGAAGGGAGTTGTGCATCGTAGCGGATGCCACCCAATGAGCTGCCTTTAAATTGGCTCTAGGTTTGTGTAAAAAAGAAATATTGTGTAATCTAGACATGTACCTAATATCTTCCATCACTGTGTTGATTTCCCATGGGGAGACGTTCTCTGTAGCGCTCAAATTGATCGCATTAAGGCAGTCACTCAAGATTGTTGCGTTCCTTACTGAACAAGTGTCTACCATAAGACAGGCATGCCATATAGCAACTGCTTCAGCAACCAGACATGAGTTAGCAAAGAAAGCTTTTGAGGTTCCATCCATCAGGCCTCCCTTAGGATTGAACATAAGCACTGCACTTGCAGCTTCCTTGGTTCTCTTCTTAAAGGCTCCATCACAACATATTAAGATCCCGAACTCTGCTGTTGCACCATCTCCTCATTTCTCATAGAACTCGTCTATTTCTCTGCATAGTACATATCTTCCAAGATGAGAGATTCAGCCCATGATCGTTTCCCTTTTAAAACTATTGCATATGCATTTGGGGGCACATCATTGAAAATTTTCGGGTTCCTTTATTTCCATATAAACCATCCCACTGTTGCTATCTTTCCCAGAACCTCATTTCTTCTTTGAGGCTCGTTAGCTGCTTCCAGAACCTGGGAAGTGCATTGGGCGATTGACATAAACCCCACCTGGTTTACCTTAATAGTCACATCTATACCAAGCCACACTCCTCTAGTCCATTCACATTCAAAGAGGAGGTGTTCAACAGACTCAGGGGCACACATACAGATTTTACATTCTGTAGAAGGAGCACACTTTCTCTTGTAGAGGTTCTCTTGGGTTGCTAGGATGTTGTGGCATGCTTTCCACCAGAAATGTTTCACCTTAGGCACTGTCTGCATGGTCCATATTGTCTGCCACATCTTTGGGTGGGGGGAGAAGGAGGAGCTCGTCTCTCTTGGGTATATGTCTCTGGTAATTCATAGCTTGTACCCTAATTTCACCATGTATTCCCCCTTCTGATCAGGCCACCAAATCCTCATATCCTTACCACCTTTTGCTGGGATTGGGATAGACTAAATAACCTTGAATTCATCCTTTGAAACTTTGCCTTAGAGTAACTGGGTATCCCGTTCAAATTACCTTTCTTTTATAGCATCAGCAACCTAGGTAATCAGACTGTTTTACAGTCTTGGAGATTGTACTTTGTGTTCTGCTAACTGGGGGCTCCATTTGTCATCCTAGAAATTAACTTCCTTCCCATCCCTTATTTGCCACATCAAGCTGTTTTCAAGGAGTTCTCTTCCATGCAAGAGGCTACACCAAATCCAAGATGGTCTGACCCCTCGCTTAGCTTTTAAAAAATCTTCATCAGGAAAGTAAATGGATTTAATGAACCTTGCCCAGAATGCATCTAGTTGGCTAATGAGTCTCCAACCTCGTTTCACCAATAACGCTTGGTTGAACTGATTAAACTCTTTAAATCTCAATCCTCCAACATCTTTCAGTTTCATCATCTTCTCCCACCTTTTCCAATTGATTCCCTTGTTTCCTTCCCCATTCTTCCACCAGAAATTTCTAATATGTCAATTCAGTTGATGGCAGAAGCTTTTTGGGAGTTCCACCACTGACATGATGTAATTAGGAATGACTTGTACCACCACTTTGATCCGCACCTCTTTCCCTGCTTGGGACAGCAGGGTACTTCGCCATCCTTGGAGCTTTTTCATTACCCTCTCAATGATGTAGCCAAAGATCTCCTTCCTCGAACTGTTCCACCCAGTAGGAATCCCCAAAATACTTTGCATTTGTGTGGGAGGCATTGCATGCCCAGCAGACTGCATATCGATATTTTTTGTTCTGATACAGCGTTGGACGAAAATATAATACCTGATTTCTAATGGTTGGTACTCTGACCTGATACATCGCAAAATCTCTTCAAAATTTTGATAAGTTTCAACAGCCCTTCTTCCTTTGCCTTGATAAAGAACAATGAGTCATCTGCGAAGAACAGGTGTGAAATAGTCGGGCTCCTCCTCTTTACCTTTATCCCCATAAATTTCCTTTCTGCCACCCCTTTGTTTAGTATTGAGGAAAGCACATCAACAACAATAATGAAGAGATATGGGGATATAGGGTCACCTTGCCTAATCCCTCTCTGGAGTTTGATATCACATTTTCTTTCCCCATTGAGTAGCACCTTGAAGGATACAATACTTGCACATTGCATAACAAGATTTACCCATTGGCTTTTGAAGCCCATCTTAAGTATGGTTGCTTCCAAAAAGTCTCATTCCACCCAATCATATGCTTTACTTATGTCCATTTTGATCGCTATTTCAGGCACCTTTCCCTTTTTCTTACCTTTCAGATAATGGAAGATTTCATTAACAATCATTATACTATCCTAAATCTGCCTATTTGGAACAAAGGCCGCTTGATTAGGGGAGATTAAAGTGCCCAAAAACCCCTTCATTCTATTTGCCAAAGTTTTTGAGATAACTTTATACAAGAAATTACAGAGAGTTATCGATCTAAATTGACCAATTTCTTCAGGGGCATTCTCTTTTGGAATAAGAACCAGGTTGGTTGAGTTGAGTTCATCCAGCATTTGCCCCTCCTCAAAAAATTTTCTCACCATGCTAGTCACATCAAGTCCCACAATATGCCAAAACTTCTGATAGAAAACTCCCGAAAATTCA